ATTTCAAAATAGCATTTTGCTATTTTGAAATAGTGTGTCCACACTGAGTGGACCCTGAACCAAAGTTAAGGCTGGCTGGAACCAGCGCCAACAGGGCATCAGGTTAGGACTTAGTGTGTGGGCCTGCTGCCTGAGGGTAACTGAGCTCCATGCCTAAAGGGACCCTACCCCCATCCTGGACAGACAGTTCTCAGGGTTCCCTGCTTGCTTGTCTACCTCAATGAGGGACAGCAAAGCAGTCCTATCTTGGAGTGCCCTGAGTGCCTGCACTTGAGACACCACAGCACTCGGCCACGTGGAGCCAGAGCTGCCCCTGGGCATGCCGGTGCATCGCGTGGGGTCGTTGCCACAGCACTTGCCTATAGAGGGCCTATCGGGGGGCTGTCAGGATCTAGGAGGCCCTGTGGGAGAGCGTCCACCCTGAGGACCCCTCAGAGCCACCCTGGTCCTCCCCACCGAGGGCTCATGCCCCATTCCTCCCTCACGTCCTTCCACTTACCCATTAACTTAATTTGAAATAGTTAATTCGAGTTAAGCTAATTAACTCGCCCCCCTTCCTGATGTCAAATACAAGACATGTATGTTCAAAAATAAAAACTGGGTTTATTGAACAAAACTGAGGGGGGATGAACCTCTGGGGAGACTGGGAAAAGGAGGCAGGAGAGGGGAAGAGAGAGGGTGCCTGATGCCCAGCACCCCCTACGAGGTGAGGGCAACTGTGCCCTGCACCGTCAGAGCCGATGTGCTTGCACAGAGGCCTTGGTCGGGATGTCTGGCACTCCCCGGGACTGGGATGTCTGGCTCTCCCTGGAGCTGCCCCAAGACTGCACCAATGCCCCTGTGCTGTGTATAGTGAGGCCGAGGCGGTGGGGAGATGTCCACTGCCTCTTTGTAGAGGGGGCATGTGAAGGGAGGGCGTCCTGCTGGGTCTCCCCCGGGGTCGGGAGTATGTCAGGTCTCTTCACACGTGTGTGTGGTTATCAGGCCACGGCCCCTGTGTGGCAGGCAGCTGGAGCCACTTGCCCAAGGGTGGCATGGCACTTGCCCGCACGTGCACATGGGGCTGCGTGATCCGTGGGAGTCATGGCCCACACGTGTGGTCCGTTGTCTCCTTCCCCGCCCCAGGTAGGGGACAGTGATGGCACTTACCTGGTGTGGCCTCCACTGACGACCCTTCTGACTCCGGTGCTGGGACAGCTTGGGGGTCCAGCTGGCATGGCACCCTGCGTGCTGGCACCTCTGCCACGCCTGGGTCAGGGCCCTCTGGTCCCGGCTTGCTGCCCCCTAGGGTGACATGGACCGTTCCACCCCCCAGGATGCGGTCGAGGGCGGGGAAGTAGAGGCAGGTGTCACCCCTGCTGTGGCGCCGCCCCTGATGGCCCTGGCTAACCCCTGCCACAGCTCTTTAATTTTCAGGTGCACCTGTTCCTGGGTGCACCTATGGCCTTTCTGGGCCATGGTGGCGGCTATGTGGCCATAGACGGTCGCGTTCCTCCTCCTGGTGCGGAGTTCATGGACATTGGGGACCTGCCCCCAAACCTCTATGAGGTCCATGATCTCCACACCAGTCCAGGCAGGAGCGCGGTGTCTACGGCCCCTGACTGGCCCCTGGGTGCTGGGGGACTGGGCGGGGGTGGCTGGCTGGCAGTGGCTGCCTGGCTCATCCTGGGGCCCCTGGGCCCGGGGGAGAGACTGCTGGCTCTGGGCTGGCAGGCTTGGAGCTGGAACAGGCATTGTGGGCAGAGTCTACCCCTTTAATGGCTCCGGTGCAGGGTAGGGGGAGAGGAGAGGAGTTTTTCTGGTTTGGGCCAGAATGGCCAGCAGGGCACCCTGGGCAGGGCTGGAGGCCCCCTATTTCAAAATAAGCATCTACAGAGCGCTTATTTTGAAATAGCAATTTCAAAATTGGCACTATTCCTTGTGGAATGAGGTTCCATTTCAAAATAAGCCCTGTTATTTCGATTTAATTTCAAAATAGTGGTTTGGCTGTGTAGACGTTGGTAAAGTTATTTCAAAATAACTTTGTTGTGTAGACATACCCTATAGCGAGTAGTTTAAGAGTAGTTATTTTGAACTGGACAGTACTATGGAAAATGATAGTCAGCTTTCTCTCTATTGTCTCAATCAACTTGCACTCCATCTTGATCCTGTTAACAGCAAGGTTTGATGAGTACTGCTGACATTCGTAATGGTTGAGAGACCTGTGGGGCATGAAAGGTGCTGGGAATAACATGAGGGCATTGACAATCTGTGCATGCGAGAGACTCACAGGGTCAATAGAAAATCTTAAAATGGATTTATTGTTCCAGGGATTGTTTTTCAAAAACAACGAGGAGTCCTTTGGCACATGCATTAGAGACTGAGGGTATGTCTACACTACAAAGTTAATTTGAAATAACTACTGTTATTTCAAATTAACTTTAATAGAGTCTACACAGGCAAACCGCTATTTCAAAATAAATTTGAAATAGTGGAGCCCTTATTTTGAATTTGGTAAACCTCATTCTCCGAGGAGTAACGCCAAATTCGAAATAGCTATTTTGAATTAAGTGCTGTGTAGACTTAATTAGTTTACCTTAATTAGAAATAGGGGGCCTCCAGCCCTTCCCAGGGAGCCCTGGTGGCCACTCTGGGCACAACCAGGTAAACTTTCTCTCCTCTCCCCCAGCCACGGAGACATTAAAGGGGTAGACCCTGGCCACAGAGCCTGTGCCAGCTCAAAGCCTGCCAGTCCAGAGCCAGCAGTGGCCACCGCAGCC